ACACGAACTCTAAATGTAGTAAAACAACTGCTTAAGATAAGAAAAGAACTCTGAGATTCAAGACAGGCAGAAGGGGCTGGATTCTCTTTGCCTCTCCTCTCTCTTTTCCTCTTCCACTGCCAGCATATAGAATGACACAAGAATAATACTAACGACTTCAAATGAGTAAAGACACCTCCTGACAAATTCGGTCATCTGCATGTATTGGAGTGTCCCAGAGGCCAAAAGAACAAGAAGAGCAGCAGAAAAAAAATCAATTCCAGAGACTATAATGAATTCTGGGAGAAAGTATCTTGCAGCAATTACCATCTTTTGTGCAATTTTCATTTCTCATAAGACCATTTTTATCTATCTCTGAACTGACAGAAACTATTTATAAAATGCCCTATAAAATTCCTAAGCAGAATGTCTGTTGGTAAACAAATGACTTGTTTTTAAAAAGTCTGTAAGTCAGTCTACCATAGATGAAAAGATTTCAGCAAAGGAGGAGGCTTTTAATATAGAAAAGGTTAAGCCAGCTAAAAATGTTCTGCGCTACTGTACTTGCAAAGCCAGTGTTAAGAGCATTACTAAATTTTGCTCTGCCTCAGGAGGCAGCTAAGGAACATTAATCAACTGTTTTGCCAAATTAATGGAAGATTCATGCTCATCTTTTAAAGAAAAAGCAAGTCACAGGAACTGCTGGTGCTTGAAACAAAAGTTAGCCAACTGAACAAAATGAACCAGAAGAAAGTAAATGGGATTGGTAAAATCCTAGAATAATATCCCAAACTAAAGCCTGAAGACAAGGACCTTCAGATGAAGACAGTCATTTCAGACACATAGACAAAGGTAAGCAGAACCTTGAAACTGGTCATCTGTGGTGTTTTGGAAAACTAACAGACAGTTTCTAGTCACAACATACAATGAGAAACACATTACTTAGGATCTATCAAAGCCCTTTGGCCCTACTCTCAGCATGGTGGAAAAGAAGATAAGCAGTTCTGAAACTTAACTCTCCTTATTAAGCTAGAAGTAATCAGCTGCCTAAATATCTGCCTCTGACTAGAAATCAGAATTTAAAACTGGAATTATAACTGGTATGGCAAAGATGCACACAGACTCAAAGAAGCCTTCAGCAAGCTAAGAACTGTCACTTAAATTTCCATTGGAAACCTGACTTCAATCTGTTCCTCTCCACAGCAGAGGAGCTGCTGCATACACTGTTCATTCCCAGATGAAGAAGAAAAAAAAAAAAAGAGAGAAATCAGCAAATAGTAACAGAACTCAGAATAGAGAGCAGCAGACCCCACAGCACAGTGGTACCACAATCCAGCTATTCCCTGTTGTGCATCTTTCCCTTCAACTGCAAGTTATTACTCCAGGGAGGAGCGGGTGGGAAGCAGAAGTGCCAAAGCCCTACAGGGGCTCAACAGTAGTATGCTTACTACATGCATTTATGCTTTAGGAAGGTCTTTCTCCACCAGAGAAGTTCAGTTTCTCTGTTCAAATACATTTCAATATTGCACTGTGTTCAGTTTGGTAGATGAACTGCCTTTGGACTTTTTTCACAGCATGGACTCCATCTCAATAGACTCTCCTGGACAAATGCTTCTTCCTTGTACAATCATCTTTTCTTCTACTATTATCACACAAAATTCCAGCGGCTGCTATAAGAGCTGCTTACATGAGAAATTGCTCAGAAGGAATCTTGCCCCTTTCTTCCAGTAGGCTGAAATTTCCCCCAAGACCTAGAAAGTGATCCCTTTTAAAAAGAAGATATGTGACAGCTTTATAAACACCACCACCACATACAGGCATTACACTTCAAAAACAGAAACCAGACAGCAAACAGGAAGCTGAGCACATTTTCTCAGAGGAGCTTGAACTGTATAAATACAGCCCTTGGTCCGCTCATTGGTTATGCCTGCCACTTTCACATAGCTAACTACAGAAATAAATCAGATCATTTACTTCAAAGCTAACTTATGTTATGAAATTCTAAGACTTTTTTCATCAATGTGCTTTTCAAAATCATAAAATTCTCAGTGTATTTGTTCCCTCTACTTATTTTTTGACTTCTCCTTTTCCTATAATTTTGATTTTTACACATGCTACTACACAAGGACAGATTTGCAGCCCAAACCTGAATTTTCTAATCCAAGAGGTAGAAAAAGACAGAAGTAGCTATGGATGTCATACTAGTATCTCTGTGCTAGCCTCTTATTCTGATCTGAACTCTATTTACAGCCTTCAGAAATAGCCATAACGGTTAGCCAAGGAAAAAAATCCCCAACTTTTACGAATCATCTTTCTGTTTTATACTTGTGAGGTTCCAGTTCTAGTTAGTTAATTGTGTTAAGACATTTTCCCTAAAGACAGCAGTATCAACCTATTACTCGATATATCCACACATAGGCACAGAGCAAAGCTAGTTCTTCACACCCTGTGTTATGATGCAAGAGTTTGGGACTCGCAAATAATTTGTGTCAACAATACCTGAATGAGGAATACTCACAGATGTTCTTAACTCTGTGCATCAAGCATAATTTTGTTTCTTTACTGCAACAACCACTTTCATAACACTTCATCTTTCCATTGCTGAAAAGCCTATGCAATAACTTAGATAAAACCATTACAAAGAAACACGTTTCTTTTTTCTTCTCTAGGTGTCTGTTGCCATCATTGTATCATATGTTACATTCAACTAATTCATTTAATTTTGCATAATGTATTTGTAGCATAGGTTTACATGTAAAGCTGTTGTGAAAGGCCATTCAGCAGAAAAATGTACATGGACCTTTAAAGTCTGCATATCGCTCATGCTGTATCACACTCAGAGAGAAATGCAGTCTTCACTGATATCAATTAATATATTAGAAGACTTCCCAGATGTAAGGAAGATTTGATTTTCAGTCATTTGTGGAAGATGAGATATTTTCTGCCTCTTTCCTATTTTTTTTTAATCTAACTCTGGCCAAGGCTTACATTTTACTGCAGAAATGCTATTTGCATTACTTCAGTTCACTTAGTTGCTAACTTTTAGAAAGTTAAAACAAATACAGCCATCAAGATTTTTGAGAATAGCTAATCACCTCTGCCCAGAATTACCAAGTTTTTACTTACATTTATTAAGAGTGTAAAGCAATGTTCAAATTTTTAAAAAGGATTTAATAGTACAATGAAATTATCCCTTTCCCATCAAGGGCCAAAGCACTAGGTAGAAGCTTAAATGGTGTATTTCATTTTATTAACTCCTCCGTCATCAACCCACAGTGACAGCTGCTTTGTCACTATCTACCTGCCAACAATAAATTAATGTATTGTATCTTTCTCCTCTAGGGCTCTAGAGACTTTCTTATTTCCATAGGGAACATGCAAAAAAAGATATAATTTTCATTACTTTAAGCAGCGTAAAAGGGATTTTTTTCTGATGTAAAAATCTACACATTTTTTAGATCATAATGATCTGAAAAATAGGTAATTCAAACTTTTTTATAATTACATAAATATAAAATTGCATAAAAGATGAACCACTGCCTCATGAGCCACAGAAATAACAAAGTCTGAGTTACGACGGTTTGTTTACTACAGTCAATGTTCCAAAATACCAATATGGAAAAACTCAGCTCTCCCTTTTCATCCTACAACCTCCATCCATACGCTCTTGAAAACCTTCAGCTCACCTCCTTCCACTACTCCTTAGTCTCTCCCATGGCCTCACAACCACTAGCTGTGGAAGTCACAGCACACACTGGGGCTTTCTGAGCAATTAATACGAGCCATTCAGTTACTTGACCATGTTAGTGGGCTTGCACACCAGCCATTCTCTCCTTAGAAGAGGTCAATTGAGTTTACTCCTTCTACTCAGGCATTCTTTTTTACCAGCTCATATTGTTGTCTTTAAGACTCCTCAACTCTATCACATTTCACTGAGCTGGATTCAAAAGCTATCATAGGTGATGACAAAAAGACTGTTTATCAAGATGGCACCCCACACAAAACAGATTATCGCTATATGGAGGTAGGATGTACAGTCAAGAGGCATGTAACTGCAACATTGTAACAATTTGGAGATTCTGGACATGCACTCAAATAGCACAAATGATTTCAGAAAAAAAAAAAAACACTATTAATCAGAGGTAATATTAAACAATTAACAGTATCACCAAGCTTTATTTTACTTTTTTTTCTTTCTTGTTTGCCATACAAAGCAATTAGTAATTTGAAATTCACCTGATTCTTTTGATTTTAAGGCCTCTTTGATTTGTTGCTTAATTTTCATTGCTTCTTCTGCAGTCAAGTCCCCCTTTTTCAGTGTCACCACTTGAGGCTGCTCATCCTCTTTGTCACTGCCATTCTCACTGTCATCATCTGGAGTTGGAAGCTGTTCTCTCTAGACAGGGGAGAGACAAAAGCAATTCTGATCACCACCCCAAATCACAACTCCCAAGATGCAACTGTTCTGTCTGGAACTAAGGAAAAGCTTTTCCTGGGAAGGTAAGCACTGAAACAGGTCGCCCAGAGAGGTTGTGCAGTCTCCATCCTAGGAGACACTCAAAAGGATGTGTTCCTGGGTAACCTACTCCCAGTGTCCACGCCTGGGCAGGGGGATTGGACTAGATGATCTCCAGAGGCCCCTTCTAACCTCAACCATTCTGTGATCAACCTTTCATTTCCCTTCTGCTGTTAAATTAGTAAGGAGTCCTGGCTTTCGGTACTAAGCTCTCCTAACACACACTGTCCAAATGACACCAAGTCACTGCCATTCCCTTCAGGAAAAGGGCGTACATTACTCTGGCCCACCAGGCACACTCCCTCATTGCAGTACAGCGGGCACAGTCAAAGTCTGTTATGATTTGCTGGTACTTGGCAACTAAATGGGCTCTTGGGGAGCCGCTGCAGCTGGGCACAAGGTTAATAGTCCAATTCCACCATTGAGACACGGATTCCTGTGGAAAAAAAAAACAGTATGTGTTCTTTCAATTAAAGACCAAAGCAGTATGAGCTTGGAAGGTAAGAAATCCATTGCCTTTGTTCATATAAATAATGTCTCTCACATCACACTAAGATACTCTTAAATGTCTAGGACCAAATTTGAATCCTCTGAGATACACTCAAACAGTGAGAAGGGAAAGGGAGTCCATGGTGGCTTTATTATTAAAGCTACTCAATTAAATTGCAAACATTATTAACATAGAGAGATAACTCTCCTGTTTCCACTCTCCCTCATTCATGCTGTGAAAAAGATTTACCTGGGATTAAAATTTTACATAAACAAACTTGGTCTAAGGCAGAGAATCACTACAGAAACTTCAGTCCACAATGCAAAGTTTGGTAAGATTATAGGAACTGGAAGCAGTCTTATATTAACAAAAACAAAAAAATGAAGTATTACCCAAATCAACTGAGGTTTCCACGGGAATAGGCAAATTGCAGCCTTCCCCAGGAAATGAAATAGCTCATGCTAACTGCATAATTTATCTCAAATTCATTTACACATTTCCTTTCTAACAAATCATTACTGTTATTACTTCACTGACCTGTCTGGCTTAAGCCATATACCTTGTGTATGTGTATAGATGTACACACAGTAATATATACAGCTTAAGGTCTACTACATACAAGGATTGCATCTTAAAAGGCAGAAAAGGCAAATGAGGCCAGCAGTGAAAGCCTATACTTCGTTTGCAAGACAAGGTATTCTCACAAATAACTTACATGTCCTAACTAGATGATACTTATTATTTGAACAACAGCCATAAGCACCATTCTGTGCTTTTAAGTAATGAACTATCACAGTTAAGTACCATGTAAGAACAGCATCATAAAAAATACTTCAGAAAGCGGCTGCAGCTTTGGGGTGGCAAGGCTGGGTTTAACAGTAGCTAAACCAGCTCCACGTTACAGTGGCACAAACACCTTTCCGATAAAGGCCCTGCCAATTGTAACAACTAGTCACTACTGCTTGATGGGTTGTTTCCCTCTCCCCAACCCCAAGGTTGCTGCATACAGGTCATCTTCAAGGTTCCCCTAATGTTTCTGCCAATACAACTAGGCAATAACATAACTGCACAAGCAGGACTACCACCAAAACTACACTACAGCTTAAATTTAAAAACTTTGGGTCTTCTGCAGGAAACACCAAATCAATCTATAACACATTGGGGTAATGATAAGACTGTTTTTCAAAGAGGATCCTGCAAAACGCTGCAATTGGCAGAAACTCTGCAGTTTGGTAACCCACACAAATCATCTGACTCCGGCCTTTAGGGCCCCAGCCCTGCACCTCACCATCACACAAGTGCTTGCAGCAGCCGACCCGGCTTCAGGACACCTTACCCCTTCCAGATTTTAACAGCACCATAATCACTTCCCCCCACGGTCCCACAGACCGCTGGGCACGCCAGCAAGAGCCCCAGCCCGTATGCACAGGGCCGGGGCCCACGCATAAGGGTCTGGTGGCGACAGTAACAGGGCCCGAGCATGGGGGAGCGAACAGGGCCGAGGAGAATATCCCACCGCCGCAGGGGCCAGGCCTTTACCTTGGTTTCCACCGTGGGCCCCTCCC